TTAATTCCCTGATGGATCACTTAATTCCCTGAATGGATCATTTAATTCCCTGATGAACCACTTAATTCCCTGATGGATCACTTAATTCCCTGGTGGCTCCTTTCCCTTCCATGGGGAGCCAGGCTGGGGTGGGCCCAAGGTGACAGCTGAGGGACATTTGGGGTGTCAGTGTCCCCAGATGTGCTGGCCTGACACTGGGCACAGCACAAACGGTGTTCAGAGTGCAGCTGTGTCCACGCTGGCACAGAATTTTCCTCACTAATCCCACCAGGAATTTCAGAATTCCAGAATTTGTGACAGGGGAGGGCAGGGAATGGCCACTAAACCCCAACATCCTGTAGCCAAAAGTGGCTGAGGGATATTCCTCATTAATCCAAACATTCCAGGGGTGTTCCAGCATTCCTGCTGTCCTGACAATAATATTTGATAACACAGTATATTGTTAATATTCTGTATTAGTAAGAGTGCCTTGTGCACTTCACTGTGTGCAGCAAACGATAAATGAGACCATCAAAGACATTTTTACAGTCCAAAAAAAGGGGGGGAAATGGGAAATGGATTTAAAAATATTTCAAAACCTGACAGGAAGCTCACACAGTCTTGTACATCTGTGTGCAAGCTCTGAGATAAGGTGTGCTGATTGGGAATGCCATGGAACAGAGATGGCATTGTTGAGAGAGATTGAGCTACAAAAAAGTCTCAACAGTTTTCAAAAGATGGCCTTGCAAAAAGACCAGGTATTTTAGAGAATTAGAGCTGTGAAAAATGCACTGTAGCAGGGCCACGTGGGGAAAAAATAGAGGTGATTGGTGTTAAATAGAGGTAAAAATATAGGTAAAATATGGGTAAAAATAGAGGTGATTAGTGTTAAATAGAAGTAAAAATATGGGTAGAAATATAGGTGATTGGTGTTAAATTGAGGTAAAAATATAGGTTAAATATGGTAAAAATATAGGTGATTGGTGTTAAATAGAGGTAAAAATATGGGTAGAAATAGAGGTGATTGGTGTTAAATAGAGGTAAAAATATAGGTTAAATATGGGTAAAAATAGAGGTGATTGGTGTTAAATAGAGGTAAAAATATAGGTAAAAATATAGGTGATTGGTGTTAAATAGAGGTAAAAATATAGGTAAAAATTGAGGTGATTGGTGTTAAATATAGGTAAAATATGGGTAAAAATAGAGGTGATTGGTGTTAAATGTAGGTAAATATAAGTGAATAGGTGGTGTTAGAAGTATTAGCAGCACTGTCTGGCAAAATCTAATTTATAAAAGCATTTATAATGTGTTGTAACCAGGAGATAGGTTCTGATGGAATGGCATAGAGTTTTACATCTCTTGTGTCTCAGCCTTCAACGAGACTGATAATGGAATAAAATCTTTTAAAGCTTTTTTTTAAAACAATTTTTGTTGGGTGATGGCATCTTTATGTTGCTGCTCTTCTCTCTGAGCCTTCCTGGGAGTAAAAATTCCAGGGATTTTAGGGTTTTTTTTTGCTTTGTTGCCGTTCCATTAGACAACCTTGACTTGGGAGCAGGGGATGAGCTGGTCCTACTGTGATGCCAAGGATTTGGGAGGGAACTTTGGGATGTTTTTAAAGCTGTGAGGAGCTGGGGTGGTCACGATCTGCTTGTAGTGGGGTGTTGTGATGGCTCCTTAGCTGATCCCAAAGTGCAAAAGACAAACAGCAGGGGACTGTCAGTTTAATCACAACAAATGCACCTTTATTAGGGCCAAAAACAATAAATGCCATAGTGGGGTCAGAAAAGAAATAAAAAAGGATAGAGAGAGAGATAGAGAGAGAAGGGGGATGGGAATAGCTGCCAACACAGACGAGGTCCTCACTGGTCTGGATCATGGGGATCTGTCTTGTTGTGTTGGGGAGAGTCCCCAAAATCCTGCCTGGCCCAGGGGTCCAGTTATAGTCCACAGAGGGAAAAGGGGGGAACAGGCAGAACAATGAGAGTCTGTTGAAATTGCTGTGGGGGAACAGCTGAATCTACAGAAAATCATCCAGGCAGGACAAACACAATGAAGAATAAGTCCATTGGAGTTCCTGGAGAAGAACAGGTCAGGTCATTCTCCACAACACTCTCTGTGGTAGGAGTCTCAGTCCTTGGGGAGAGGGTTCTTGATCTCCATCTGTCACGGTGGTAGTGAGGCAGATGAGGGGTCTGCAGTGAGAGACCACCAGAGTCACCCCAACAGTTCATTTGGCTTAAAGGTGGAGAGTGAAGCAGGAATTGCAGCAGCCGCCCTGTGCTGGCTCCGTGCTGGGTCTTCACCAACTCCTTGCCAAGTTCTTGCCAATTCCTTGCCAAGTTCTTGCCAACTCCTTGCCAAGTTCTTGCCAGGCCTCATTGGGAACAGCCAACGTAAGGGTGCAGTGGCTGCACCTGCACTGTTGCCTCCTCCAAGCCGGATCTGCAGGGGAGGGAGGGAGTTCCTGCTCGTGGCAATCAGCAGGCAAATGAGTGAGGGTCTTCAATGGCCTCTTCCAGCTGACTGTGCTGTTTTGGCAGGAGCTGAGGCTGGGCTCGCACGCCGAGGCGCTGTCCTTCACCTCGCTGGTCGATGGCTACTTCAGGCTCACGGCAGATGCCCACCACTACCTGTGCACAGACGTGGCTCCTCCCCTCATCCAGCACAACATCAAGAACGGCTGCCACGGCCCCATCTGGTCAGTCACTGCTGCATTTCAGGGATTTATGGCCCAGCTGGTCAGTCACTCCTGCATTTCAGGGATTTATGGCCCAGCTGGTCAGTCA